CAAAAAAAAGTGTAAAATCAACCTTTTAAGGTTGTAAACCTTCTGAAATAAGACTAAACCATAAACCCAACCTAAAATCAATGACGTACTTCTGCTAGGAGCTGAACTTGAGAATCATCTCTGAACCACAAAATCATTTAGACGAGACGAAGGTGCAACACATAAACTTCGAACAATCAAAAGCACCACAGGTAAAATCCAAATTTTGACATCTCAATTCATTCTTTCAACTTGAGGTGAAAGAATAAAGGATAAGACATCGAATGTTAAGCATCAGTTCAGATTCAACTATATTAAGGAAAACATGCTCAATAAGGAAGAATAACAGAATATCATCTTTGATAAAGCTATCGGACTTCCAAGCTCTAACCGGCTACTGTATTTACTTAATGAATCTAACAGAAACACATGAGTTATATATATAAAAAAAAAAACTCCAGAACACACATCATGTAATGTCGATCCAATAGTGACAAACAATCCAGCAGACACACAACAAAGGTTTTCAACCCTTAATCCATCACATTGAAACCAAGAGGCGAAGAAGATTACGTAAATGGGGTGTTTACCTGTTGATGAGCTGCGATACTTGGGATTCGAGCTAAACAAGGATGAGCTTCCACGCCGAAAGCAAACACGAACGACGGCTACGACGTTTCAATGGAATACCACAGTCGAACACACTGAGATGAAACAGAACGTATCTCTCGATTTCTTCTCAATTCCCTTTGTTTATCTCTGTGCTTATTACGTTTTTGGTAAACCTTTCTAAGACAGATTGAGCGCTACTCTCGAAAAAAAATCGAACAGAAAAAAACAATAGAACAACCTTCTGAGGAAATCTCAATCCATTTTTTTCCAACCCCTTTTCTGAAGAAGATGGACGTTTATATAGAAAAAAAATTAGGGTTCTTCAAGGGAGAGGGCTGGCAGATGCCCTTTCAGGCCCATTAAAATTCGAAAAACCAATTCCCAAATCTTATCCAAAGGTTGAGGGAATATGCCCTGAAGATGCTCTCGAATTCGTCCCATTCCAACGGAAAGGGAGCATATGTAGAGGGCTTGGATCAATCGCGTGTCCTTGCACCATTACGTGGAGTGATCCTACGCTACAAGGACGGAATTTGCAGCCTTCCCTACTGCAGAGCTACGCGAGCGCACTGCTGTACGGGTGAAGGAGGAAGACGACACAAAATTTGTTGCTTACGCTTGCGTGAGGCGCGTCGTTGAAGGGGAAGAAGAAGATCGTTGGGAAATTTTGCACATGAAGGAGACGCGGGGGGGGGGGGGGGATTCAGAGAAATTTCTTCACGCTGCTGGGTTCTGTTTTCTGGGAATTTCTGTTTTTGGGGAATTTTCGCGTCTGGGTTGGGAAAAGGAAGAAGGGATAAACAAGTTTGGGGTTGGGTTATTGGCATTGGGTCGGGTAGGTGGAAAGGGGTTGGGCTGGAGGGGAATTGGGTTGGGATGGAGGGAAGGACATAAAGGTCCAACTTTGTTTTTTTTTTTTTTTTTTAAGATTGTAAAGGAGGGTGTTGGGCCGCCTGGGGAATAAAAGAATTGGGTTGACATTTTAGCTTTAATGGGCCGGGTAGGGGGAAAAATAAAGGGAAAAGGATTGAAGTGGGCTGCTGAAAGGGAGAAATTGGAGTGGGCATGGGAATTAATTAAAATGGAGTGGGCTGGAGGGTGATAAAAGGGAGAAGGGAATTGAGTTAATTTAATAAATAGCCAAATAGAGTTAAGATGATAAATTTGGCTAAACCTTAAATAAAATGAATTTGTATTAATTAATTAATGAGCTTCTTTATTTTAGTAATATAATTAAAAATAGTGATTCAAAATAATCATAATTTAAAACTAAGATAGAGTGCTTACTAAAATTAAAATATTTTTGAGATGGTTTTTGAATAATCCTAAAATATACTAATTATATACATAACTATGTAAAATATATATATTATCTAAAAATTATGATAAAAGTATCCGAAGTAACATAAAGTTCATGCTTAATATTATATTTTCGCAAAATTTATAAAACTAATCAATTTAAATTGTTTGGAAAACTTATGAAGCTCGAGAATTAATTAATACCGACGCGGGTCAAAATTGGGTGTCAACATACACACACACACACACACACTTGAACCAATATACTTTATACTAATATATTATATAGAAGAGTGAAGTGGAGGACGATCAAGGGCAAAAATGTAATTTCACGCTAACAAAATCTATTAAGAAAGATAATTAATAATTCTAGAAACATCTTTCTATATATAAAGTGAATAATAATTAAGGGCAAAAATGTAATTTTATGCTAACAAAAATCTATCAGAAATGATAACAAAAAAAATTAAATAGTTCTAGAAACATCTTAAGTTAATGTTATTACCATTAATTTATTTTTTTATTGCTTTACTTTCTTTTCTTTCGTGAGTTATTGTGATATCTATTTTATTATTACTCTATTTTACTATTACTTTAAATTAATTCTTAATATTTTTTCTATTCATTATGCTTGTAAAAAATGCATAGTTTTATATAAATATTTATCATGGATTAATTATTTCCACCTTTATTTTGACTCTAATAATATATTTGAATATAAACAAGCGTGTAAAATAAATAATATATATTAGATTGAAATTAAAGAAAAAGATGTTAAAAAGTAACTTGACAAATAAAAATGAATGGGATGATATTTTGTATTAAAGACGACTAACAATAAAATGTAATTTTATTCTAACAAAAATCTATCAAGAATAAATAATTCTACAAACATCTTTCTATATATGAAGTGAATGATGATCGAAGATAAAAATATAATTTTATGCAGGAAAAAGTCTACCACGAATGATAACAAGAAAATTAAGTAGTTCTAGAAACATCTTTAGTGATTATTAATAGTATTACCTCATTTTCTTAATTCTTCATTTTTTAAGAGTTATTGTGATATGTATTTATTATATGAAAGTAAATAAATAATGATTACACTTAGCTCTTAATAATTATATATCAAGTATAATATTAGGTGGAATCAATCAAAATTAAAATTAAAATTTATATGTATATTTAACTTTTGTGTGTTGAAATAATTTTTAATTTTGTGATCTTAAATATACTCTATAAAAAATAGTAAAATTCTGAAGTTATTTTCTTTTTGAAACAAAATAAAAAAATAAGTTTATATAAATCGAAAAGGAGGGATTATTATATTAAAAATGAAACATATACGTGTTATTATTAAAATGAGCTCTCATATATATATATATATTTTAAAAATTCTTTTGACTTCCTTCTATTAATCTGTGCATGTATGTGTAGTTTTAAAGATTTGAAAATTCTAATATAGAAATATAATGATTTGAAAACTTTAATTCTTAATTTCTACTTTGTTACATATTTGAAAATTACATTTAAAAATGCTTTAAAACGCGATGTAACAATATAAAATATTTTTAGAAAAATATAGTTTAAAAACATAATGAAATTTGGTTGACTCCCTTAGTTTTATGAAAAAAAAAGTTGCATATATTGTTTTAACATAAGAACTAAAAAGTAATATGAATTACAGTAAAATGACAACTAAAAATATGTGAGAACCGTATAAGAAATTTCGTCGACTTTTCTAAAATCACTTGTATCATATAAAATAAAACAAATATAGTAAAACATAGTATCCGAAAATGACACAAAAGATATATAAATTAATAATTTAAAATATTTTTGAAAAAACTTAGATAAAATATTTAATTCACTTTTTTAAATTTTATTTGTGTCACATAAATTGGAAGAAAAAAAACTAACGTAGAAATGCCACCTAGCTGTTAATTCCAAAAAAAGTAAAATATTCTACTTTTGCTCATAATAGATATAAAGAGAAAATTTTGTAATATGCTAAAAGGCAAAGGGCTTAATAAGACATGGACAAATGATTGCAGAATTGGCTGTTGAGTTATTAGATAGGATGAAAATGAAATATTATGGAAATATGAGGGTATGTAAGTAATAGAAAAATTGGTGGGTTCTATCTATACAATGGTTAGTAAATATTTTGCAGCACCCGTCCGTTTCGTACACCAACTCTCATTAATAGAAATAATTGTTAAATCAACCACTTTTGGGCAGTAACCCTATCAATTTATGTGAGACATTGAATATTGTGCCACAAACGGGCACAATACATGTTACTATTATTTTGATATCAATTTATGCGAAATAATTATAATTTTAAGATCAATCATCTACATTTTTATGTTTAGTAAAAATATTTTAACTTACTATTAGTTAGTGTGATTTATTATATTATTTACATCATCTTTAAATAAATTGCTACTTTTGTTTCAATTTATGAAATACGAAATTTACATAATTTTTAAATATTACTTCTTCTATTTTATTTTATGTGACATCAATAGATTTTCAAGATTCAATCATTTCTTTTAAAAAAAATATATATTTTAAGTTATTAATAATTATGCAGGAATTTTGCATAATTTTTTAGAAAAATCCAAAAAAGTAGCAACAAAAATAAGTTACACCAAAGAAAAAATGAATATTATATAAATGAACTCGATTAGAAGCAATCACATCTACGAAGAGATATCTTCTCTACATAATTGTAATTAATATATGATACAGTTAAAATTTGGAAAGAGATTCAAATTATATATGATTTTTAAATGTGTTAAAGTTGTTAGTTGTTATAATTTATTATATTTTAAAATGAAATATATCATTCTCCATGTCTTGATTATAAAATAAATTTTAGAAATCAATTAAATTTTTTATATATCTTTTAAATATTTTAAATTATGATAAATAATACTTTTTAAATCATTTTAAAATAGTGCCAATAGTTCAAAATATTAAAAGTAGCCTTAAGAGTTGCAAGTTGACGACAACAACCTACTTGTAGTCTCTTTAAGTCTATCTCCTATAATAAATTATATGTCTAAGACATAAATTGAGATAAAGTAAGAGAAAAATTATCTAGCTAACAAAAAATGAAACTTGAAGTTTAATTTGAATTTAACTGAAACTTCAATAATAAGAGCATCTAACATCAAATGGAAAATCAAATAAAATTTTTAAAAACTACAAAGTAGATAAGCAATAGAGATAAGCAATGGATACAAAGGAGATGCTCGCCTTTGTTTGGAATGAAGATGAATGAACACACACTTGAGTCTGGAATTGATAAAATTAGGAGAAAACATGATAGCAGTCACTATACTTGGGCACATGCGAGACATGACCGCCACTTTAACTTAATCATAAATTAGAGCTCTTTCTTGACGTTGTTGTTATAATTCTTGGAATGAAAATCAAGAAAGAGCACTAATAATGATGCATTAAAAACAATACCAAAACACCATGCTCCAACTCCAGTGCATCCAAACTCAGTTGTAAAGTGATAATACAACATCAAAGCCGATATTATAAACCCTAGCATAAATTGATATATTTGACAATTTGTCACCACTTTTTTCCACCATGGCCTTTTTCCTATCGCGGATAGGAAATAATATGCATACATTATAACATGAATCGAAGCGTTGACTATAAGAGCAAGTCCCAACATGGACTGTGCATATTGAAGTCCAATATAGCCAAGAACCGTCACAAGTGTGTGGTGATAGACATGAAGGAATGATAACCTTCTTGATCTAGAACTACTTAGGACGATTAAAAGTGTATCAATAAATTCAAGAATTTTTGAGAGATAACAAATATAAATCCAAAAGAACACAGGCCCACGTGGAAGAGTATGATTGGCACCTGGAAAACATACGATCCACTTCCAATCATGAGGTGGCATTTGGTGTAAGACAGAAAGGATGCCGGCAATGACCATGAGTAGAGAGAGGAGACAAAGAATGAGGCTATGGATCGCGGTAATGTTGCGAATGGTGGTGGTAGTAAGGGTAGGGATAAATGCAGAAAAACGAATCGACAAGAGAGTCAGACACAAGTAAACAGAGACGGAAATAGTAAGAAAAGAAATGGAAGAACCAAAAGTGTGACCTTGTTTCCATTCAAATTGGCTTATTGTTGGATGTTCAACAAGATAGTAATGGATGTTGGAGTAAAGAGCGTCCATGTTCAACCAAATGAATATGCCTATCACAATAAAACATATTGTATGCATATATATAGAAAAAAAAAAGAGGGTGAAACATATTCCTATAGTATGATAAATTATTTTAATATATTCTTTTTTATATTTTCCATCCAAATTGTATTTGCCTTATCAACTTACCAAATCTATTTTCTTTTTCAAAAAAAATTTAGAAATAGAAAATATAATAGACATAATAAGGCTCTATAGTTATAATTTTGATAATTGCGTTCCATAGCTGAAATTCTGTTAACTATTTCTGTTCGTTTGCATATTTTACTTGTAAATATACAAATTGGATAAGTATATACAACTTTTGCATTTTTTTCATTTAGAAATTTTCCAGAATTCCGTTGTAATTCACTTGTTTGTATACGAACAAAGTAATTTATTATGAATTTTCATAAATCTTATATAAATAATTAAGGTAAACATATACAACATTCTTGATTTGTACTAATCATACAAATAGTGAAAATTAGAGAAACTTGTAATCGCGAATTACAATTTTCTTAAACAATAATTATAATTACAATTCTGCGTAATTTCCCCTTTTTCTTTTTCTTTTCATCATCTTAGATGTCCAAAAACTTGTTCTTTCACGGTGATTTTTATTATATTTTTAAATAAAATTCAAACCTCTTCTATTAAGTTGGGTTATTTTGTTATTAATTGGATGCACGCATTTTAGCCGGTTTCTATCAATTTTGGCGCAAGTTGTAACTTTAATTTACCAGCGGGTAAAGTTATCCATTATATACAACTTTATTATTTGACATAAAAACTCTCTCATTATCTTATGACTAGTGACAAAAACTTCTTGATATGTACGGGTTTAATATTTATTTATAAAATAATTTTTAAAGCGTGTGAGGTGAAAGTAACTTATCTATTTCTTTTTTTTTTGCAAAAATCTAATTTAAAGAAGTCTATTAAAATGTTCATAATTAAAATATTTTTAAATATGAATAATTGATTTTTTATTCAACATAGTGGTGAAATTTATATAAATATTAGCAAATTCATAATAATAAAGTTATCGCTAAAGAATATGAGTTTCAAACTAAAGGTCAAAACTCCTATAATTTGGAGAAATGGTTGTTTTGGTCTCCGTGTTATTAACTTATAATTGTTATGATCCTTATGTAATTAGACTAAGCATATTCGATCTTTAATTAGAGAAAATGTATAATTTTTGTCCTTATACCAAATTTAATGTTAACACTGTTAACTTTTGACTCTCCTTTTATATTCTTCTTAAACAGTCTCCAACGACAACGACCTGCTTCGATCATTTTGGGTTAGATTGAATACTGAAAGAAATTGTGTTGAAATCGGTAGTGACTTAAAAATTCTAGCTAGACCCATCTTAGACAGAATCTGAGAAAGGTGAGCTTAAAAAAAGTTTAAATGAAAAGACACGTTAAAAATAATTTGAGATATTGTCTAGATTTTCTTTCTTTCAGTTTTGATCGAAAGAAATTTTCTTTTTTTTATACCTTAGAATATCAAAAGTTAAAGATATTAACTTCAAGTTAGGTATGAGTAGTACTGAAAATACACACTCCCTCTAATTAAGTAAAAGTTAAATATGCTTAATCTAATACTCCTTCCGTTTCAAAAAGAGTGGTCTAGTTTGATTTGAAATCGAGTTTAAGTAAAAAAATAAATAAAACTTCTTAATATTATGGTTCTAATTTAAAGTTATGTCAAATGTACTAAAATATTCTTTAATCTTGTAGTCTTAAACATGCCACATGGAAAATTAACATTAAAGTGTTGACAAAAAAGAAAATGGATCATTCTTTTAAAAACAAACTAAAAAGAAAATTAGAGTCATTCTTTTCAAAACGGAAAAAGTAATATATACTACAATCACAATAAGCGCTAAGAGCAAAAACCATTGTTTCCCCTTTAATAATACTTTGAACGTAAAAGATATATATAAAAAAATACACTTAACACAAATATATATAAATGGTAGGTTTTAAAAGAAAAACAAACTTGAAAAGAAATGGATAATTATGAATTCATTAGGTTTTTGTTTGTTAATTTTATTTTTGTCATTTGAAAACTTTTTTGTAAGAACTACTTAAATATATGTATGTATCTATGAGAACCGAAAGACACATAAAATTCATATTCAAGGAATAAACCTGTTAATTTAGTTATAAAATAGCTTCGTTACAATAAATATCAAAGAGAAGAGTTTCTTGTAAATTTGAAATCATCAGTCATGTATTTTAATTTTTAAACATGCAAATCTCTTTTCGAAAAATGAATATTTAAAATTGAGGATAAATAATTTAATTATGAATATTAATTAAAAAAAACTATGATTAAAAGATAGATCTAAATCAAAAAATATTTTAAGTAGGTTTTTCCTTAGACTTTTCATAGTGAACATATGTTTGATATACTCGGTCAATTGGTAGATGAGATATCTTTAAACCGTCGAGCTTTGGTATATACCTAGACAGTCATATGTCACACAATTAACCTTTTACTGTTTATGGTTCTTACAAATGTGTTCGTTACAGCCATGAACATTACCTAGTTTCATGAGTGAATAGAGAATAGACTTTTGACATAAAATTCTCTTTGAAGCGGCTTACATTTCTCACTCACAGAGATGATTTCTAACTGTGTCATCTTGTAGACTATTTGATCAAATCTGTCAAACTTAGAAAATCATTAAAAACTTTAAGCTTTATTAACAAGCCTTAAAGTCTTAACCTTATTCCTGAACATTGTCTTCATCATGGGAATGGAATGAATTGATTGACAATGTCAAACCGTCGGTCACAACTTTGTATTCCTCCTTGAATCTAGCTCTTGGAATCTCCGGTACGCTAGGTAGAGTTACCGTCATGCTAACTTGTCCTAAGCCGTAAACTCATTTCCTTAGATAATCTCTCAACTGTTACTCTCACTAGGACTTTCGTTAGTAGAACTGACAAATTATCGCTTGACTTCACGTAGTCAATTGTGATAATTTTACTAGAGAGCGGTTATCTTACAATGTTATGTCTTCGTCGTATATGATAAGACTTTTCGTTGTACATGACGCTTCCTACCCTACCTATTGCTGCTTGACTATTACAATGTATGCAAATAGATTCCACATGTTTGGGCCACAATAGAATATCTAAAGCAATAAATTCATATTTCATTCTGGAGCGATCAATACAAGTCTTTTTGGATGATTTCAAAGAGAATGCTCCTCACTAAGTGTAAACTTATAACCACTTGTGGATTTTGCTTCATTTGACCCAGCAATCTAATTTGCGTCAATATATCCTTTAATCACCCCAACACACATTTCATTGTCATCCAATGAGTTTGATCTGGATTATTAGTAAATCAACTCAATTTGCTAATAGCACATGCTATATCTAGTCTTGTACAATTCATAATCTACATTAAACTTTCCAACACTCTTTCATATTCTAATTGAGAGTCACTTTCACCTTCATTCTTTTGAAATGTAGAGCTTATATCAATTGAAGTTTTGAAATACATTGAAATTCAAGCACTTGAACTTATTCAATACTCTTTCAATATAATAAGAGTGAGATAATGTCAGTCTCTAAGGAGTTTTGAGAATCATGATCCCTAAGATCAAATTAGCAACTGCTAAGTCTTTCATATCGAAGTTGTTGGACAATATGTGCTTAATAGCATTTATATCGTCAATATTTTTACTCATTATTAAAATGTCATCAACATATAAACAAACAAATTACTTCATGATTTGAAACGTTTTTATGTAGACACACTTGTCACATTGTTAATCTTGAATTCATTTGCCAACATTGTTTGGTCAAATTTTGCATATCATTGTCTTGCTTGAGCCTATAAAACGATTTCACAAGTTTGTACACTTTCTCTTCTTTACCAAGAATCACAAACACTTCAGCTTATTCCATGTAAATTTCTTCCTCCAATTCTCCATTTAAGAAGGTTGTTTTTACATCCATTTTGGTGGAATTTAAGATCATGCACTGCTGCTAGTGATATTAACATCCTAATTGATGTTATCCCTGTTACTAGAGAGTGTATATCAAAGTAGTTCAGACCTTCCTTTTGTTTGTATCCTTTGACTACAAGTCTAGCCTTATATTTGTCACTAGTTCCACCTGCTTTCATTTTCCTTTTAAAGATCTATTTTGATCCTAATGATTTATTTATTGGAGGAAGATCAATCAATTTTCAAGTATGGTTACGTAAAATTGTTTTGATCTCATTATCGATTGATTTTTTCTATAAATTGACTCGGATGAAGACATAATTGCTTTAAGTGTAACAGACTCATTTTCAAGCAAGAATACCACAAAATTTGATCTGAAAAAATCTTAGGCATAAGAATTTAAAAACTCCATAATGTCTAGCATTGCAATGAAAAGTACTTGACTAGTTTAATTATTTGAATTTCAATTGTTGCCCAATTTGTGTTTAAAGCAGTACCACTGGTTAAAATAAACTTTGTAGAAATACAAAGTTATCAAAGCTTAATGAACCAGTAAAAAAACAGAAGAACATAAATTAATTCATAGAAGACTAAAATTTGTAAAACATACCAAAATTTGGAAAAACAAAACGAAAAAAGATCAAGACCACCAAATGCACAATGTCCCTTTAAGTAAATTATTTCCCTCTAGTATCTAAGGTTTGATTTGGAATATGTCATCCCATGATAGAATGATCAAAATTACCAGTGCATTGATACCAAAAATGTTGGTGTCAGCGAGCCAGTCAACGACAGTAAAGTACATGAAGAAAATTTGTGTAGAAGAAGAAGAAGAAATAAAAAGTTTTCACAAGTAAAAAGTGTGAAAAATTACGGGTATTTATAGCCAAGAGGAACTAGTTCCGAAAAGTTTTAACCTTTCAGAATTCACACGAATATTCATGAATAAACCTTTTGAATGGTCATGATTGATCCTAAAAGTTGCAATCTTTCAGAACAATCATTTCCAACGGCGGAAAAGTCAAAATAAAATGGGCAGCGCG